TTAGCTGCTTTTAATATTCTTTCTTTATTCTGGATGTTTGGGGCCTTGATTATTATGTGGCGAGGGGATTTTTGTTTTGTTTTTTTTTCTTTTATCATTTTTTATTTTAATTTTAAATAGCTTGTTTTACATGTCAATCCCAGTTCCCTCTCCTTCCCCTCCTCCCACACTCCACTCCCCCCCCCCAGCCTCCCATCCTATTGCCGAATCCTTCCACATAGGGGATATCTAGAGTCTGTCATTTCACTCGTTTTGGTTGTTTGTTTGTTTTTTTTTTTTTTGTGGTCTCCTCTATATGCTGTTGTGTAGGCTTCTTGTACTTTCATTGGCATGTCTTTCTTCAGGTTGGGAGTTTTATTCTATGATTTTTTAATATGTTTTCTGCACCTTTTAGGTGGGCTTCTTCACCTTCTTCTATACCTATTATTCTTAGGTTTGGTTTTTTTCATGGTGTGCCATATTTCTTGTATATTTAGTGTTAGGGATTTATTGGACTTAAGATTTTCTTTGGTCAATGAATCTATTTCTCCTAGTGTATCTTCAATGTCTGACATTCTCTCTTCCTTCTCCTGTATTCTGTTGATTATTCTTGCGTCTGTAGTACCTGATCTTTTTCCCAGCTTTTCTATTTCCAGCATTTCCTCAGACTGCTTTTTTAAATTGTCTCTATTTCATCTTTCAATCCTTGTACTGTTTGAACTGTTTATTGCAATTTTTGCTTTGTCTTTTCCTCCATTTCTTGCATTTTTTGTTTTTTTTCTTCCATCTCTTTAAGGGTTTTTCTCATGTTTTCTTTGAGGGTCTCTATCATTTTCATGAAGTTGTTTTTCAGGTCATTCTCTTCTGTGTCATCTGCTTTGGGATGTTCAGGTCTTACTGGTGTAGAGTCTCTAGACTCTGGTGGTATCATATTGGTTTTCTGTTGCTGAGTGTGTTTTTATATTGTCTCCTTCCCGACCCTTCTTTCAGTAGATTCAAAAGGAGTCTCTTCCTCTCCTCCTGGGTAGGGGACCAGCATTCTCTTCTGGTGGGTGCTCACAGGTTCAATATACTGGTATCTGCTGCAGTCTGCAGTCCCCAGTCCTCAGCTGGTTATGTGCAGGGCACAGGAAAGTGGCCTGGAAACAGGCCCAGACTTACCTAGTTCTATGGGGGGAGAAAGGGACTATGATCCTGGCAGTCTCTGGGTGTGGTGGGTCCTGCAGTGATGGGAACCACAGTGGCAGTTCCCAGGCACAGAAAGGTAGCCTAGAAACAGACCCAGGTTTACCTAGTCTGCAAGTAACTCTGTTAACAGTGACAATTCTCAGACAACATTCTGCATTTCTGCTTTCTCCACCATCTTCCAACTCTTACATTTTCTCTTCCTCTTTTCCTTGATACTCCCTGAATCTTAGGAACAGACAGTTGATATAGATGTCTCCTATATAGCTGAACACTCACTGTTTCCTACTCTTTGCATTTTGAACAACATTGAGTGCCTGCATTTACCACTACCAACTACAAAAATAAGTCTCTCTGATCAAAGTTGGGAGTAGCACAGTTCTATAGATATAAATATAAATATTTAGATAGCAGTTAACAACATGACAATTTATAAAAATAACATCAACAATCTCTCCATTAGGGCTTATGACTTCCCTAACCAATGGTTTTTGCACAGTTTTTACGGTGCCAGGTATGAATCTCCTTCAGTGGAACAGACCTGAAATCTAACAAAGAAAGTGAGTGGTTAGCCTCACATAGTAGTGACACTATTGCACACTTTGGAACTTTGCCAGGCAGGTTGGTATTGTAAGCATGCAGAGTACAGTTCTGAATATGACCAATGATCCCTTTTCTTATCTAGTCACCTGAATACCATCTTCCAGCATAATGAAAAATAACCAGTAAGGAGAGTTTCTGAGTCAGTTCAAGACTGAGTGCCTATAACAAAAGTATGCAGTATCTTGAGCAACACAACATTACCAATTAAGTATAATGGGAAAGCAAGAACCACGATGGCCTACAGTGCTCATTTTCTTATTCTTGCACTTTGAAATAGGAATATTTACTGTGATTATCCTTTAACTGCATCTTACCAGTCTGAAACTGGTAAGACTATTTTCTTATGAATTTCAAATTTGCCTTAAATCTCAAAGGAGACTTCAGACTTTTAACAGTAATGGAACAATTAAGACATTCAGATTTTAGTGGAGGACTGAACACTTTTCACACACACACACCTTAACTTTGGTGGTTGAAGGAGGATTTGGATCAGGAATGTCTACTTAATAACTGCATGTTAAGTCTTGGCTCTTTACCACTGAGATATGGTTGAGACACTGATAGGAAATCTTAGGCCCTCTTCGGTTCATTAGGAGCACACCTCTTGGAGGTTGTGGAGCAACAGTATCTGCTACGAGGTAGTGTCTTTCTTATATGACAAGGTAGTTGCAACCATGAAATTTCAACAATATAGTCACCTAAACAAGACCTGCACAATGACAACATGAGCAACAGGCAATCATACCTGGTGAGAGAGGGAGAATTAGTCTTCCCCAAGGAATATTATTATCCAATCCCAAGTAGTCAGCAATAAACACATTCATATGAGCAAAACAATAATTGGGCACAGGAATATATATAATTATTTAATATATAAATATGTGTATATATTAAGGAAGAAAAGTTCAATAGTTTGGCAGGGAGTGGGGGAATCATAGGGGAAGTTAGAAGAAGGAAAGAGTAGAGTAGAAAGGATGTAAATATAGTAGCCATGCTATTGTAAAAGTGGAGAGAATAGAACTCAGAGGAGCTGATTTCAGATCTATCCTTCCAAAACTGGATTTGTACTAAGTTGATCAACTATGACACTTTGCATATGGTGCCTCCACCCAAAGACAGCCTTTATCTGTCCTCTGATCTGTGTCTATACTGGTCTTATGATATCATTTATCCAGAAGAGGCATTAAAAATAGGCCATGTAAATGTCAAGACTGGGCACCAAAAAGTTTGGGCCAATTACTTAATTATATGCTTCTCAAGGGAAGATACTGTGGAGAGGGAGCAGGGATTGACATGTGAAACAAGATTGTTTCTAACCTAAATAAAAAAAGAGAAGATACCCAAATGACCAACAGTATTTGAAAAACAAACCAGCCTAATATTACTAAGTAATAAGTAAATGATCATTAAAACAACAAGAAAAGCTCATCTAACTTTAATTAGAAAAACTATTATCAAAATAACAAATATTGGCAAGGACTTGCACAAAGGAACTCTCACACATATTGACAGTATTATAAAGTAGTAAAATAAATAATTATGGAAAGCTGTATAAAGGTTATAAGAATACTAGAAATAAATAATATGACAGAATGATCTAGAAAACCCACTGTGAGTAATTAGCTGATAAGTTTCCAATTAATCTAGATATTCTAGATGTTCATCAAGAGATGAATGAAAATTCTTCATGCACACATATATACATTGTGATCTATATTATACACACACATGTTTTATGTATGAGAGTAATATATATATGTATATATGCATGTGCATGTATATATTACACACATATACATTCTTCAGCCATAGACACAGATGAGCTGGGAGGTTACTATACTGGATAAAATTAATCTCATAAAAGCAAATAATATGTTTTGCTTCTTATTTATGGAAGTGAAAATGCTGATTTTATGGAAACAGAGATGCAAACTATCCTAGAGTTACTACTGATATGATGAGACACCATGACCTAAAGCAACTTGAAGAAGAAAGGGTTTATTTAGCTTACTCTTCCACATTACAGTTCATCTCCTGTGACCTTATTGGAGGCATTTTATAAATTGAGTTCCCGTTTCTCAGGTAACTTTAGCTTATGTCAAGTTGACATAAATATAGCCAACACAAGCACAGTGGTTACCAGAGCCTAAGACATGTTATAGAAGAAAAGAACTTATGGATACAAGTTTTCATTTGGACAGAAGGGATTACTTCTAATATTGGGATAATATTTATAATTTGGAAAACTTACCTGACAACAATTAATTGTACATTTCAAAGTTACTCGCAGAGAAGGTTTTGCGCGATCCCAGTATCTACAAGTGACAAGTACTTCCTGCAAAGGAGCTGCCAGCTGTTCTGATCTGATTATATGTGTTTAAACCCCAGAGAGAGTTATACTTTTGTATAAAGTGGGAAAAGGGAAGTTTGTGTGACTCCAATTCTCACTTTTAGATACCTACCATATGATAGGGAGCCACAGGCAAAAAAAAAAAAAAAAAAGAACAGTAACCTCCTATCCAATGGCCTCAGACCTGAGAGCATGTCTTTCGGAGACTAGGCAGGCCTAGGCCAGTATAAAAGACTACCCATCCCCCAAACTAAGCCGAGGCCAAATTGGTTAACCACAGAACCATGATTGAAATCCAGCTTCTACGAGACTTGGTTTTCTTATCAGGAATGTAGGAGAAAGTACTTCAGCATCATGAATTAATAGCTCTGGTCTGTGATCCACCACTTTATATATGTAACTGTTTTACTCTTTAATTATTCAGTGCCCTGGGATGTAACTCTGTCATAAGGCATCATGGACATCATGCATTGCAAATGCCAAATTTAGATTACGTTCTCAAAATAATGACAGCAATTATACTTTAATTATGATTGAAAACATTGTGTCTGGTTTTGAAAGGTCTTGTCAAGAGTTTTATACCATGTGGTTTGGGGAGATGACTCCAGCAAATACTATGAATAGGATTCATTTTCACCACAACTACCCAGTCAAACCTCACTTCCCATAACTCAAAACGCAGTGAAAATACCAACAGAGCAGGAGGGTTGCAGAAGAAAATGGGAGAGATGAACTAAATTAGCTCTTAGTCACTGCACAAATTACTCTCAGGAAAGGTTTTAAAAAAAGTCTCCATTAATTCCAAATGACTTAACATCTGATCACACATACACATACATATGGACACACACACACACACACACACAATTTGAAGTGTACTCACCCTCTCTGAAAGAGATCCACATTATAAAATTTATGTAGCTCTACAGAAAACTCAACTGTTCCTTGTACTTCAGACATGATCTTTCCGGTTCATTACCTGAAAAACAAAGAAAAAAAATCAATTTCTTAAAATGGCTTCAGCCAAACGTAGATCACCTGGTATCAATAGGCAGAAACTTGGCAGTGCTTAGATGGACAGGAACACTTGACTGACAGGACCAATAAAGAACCGTATGTCTGCTTCATGATCAGCATCTGTTATGGCTAGAACTGAGTCCTGGTCCACACCTTTTCATCTGTCCATGACATGGAGGCCACATACACCAGGTTACCAGCAGGAGTTCACCTGTTTTTTTCATAAGAGACCTTAGGCAACTCATTTAACTCCCTTGCTGCTGCATGTTCTTTCATCTGCGGGTGTGAACTGGTAACCGATTGGGGCTGGATAACTGATGAGAGCGTGGAGCAAGCATGCCCCACGGATCATTTTGCACCCACCCTAGCATGGTGCAAATTCCAGCCAGCCAGCACTGATAATGTATAGTAACAGCCGAACATCACTCTATCATCAATATAGAAAATACTGAAGGTGCAGGTGACCGAAGTGGCATCAGAACACAAGGGTGCTGAAGCAAACAGGCAAATCCTAACCCAATTTGACAGACTGATGCAAAAGCTGACAAGAATGCTGGACAAGACACCTGGAACAAAATAGAAATACAATTGTCCACAACTAGTATTGCAAACGAATTAAGAGTCGGACCCCAGGCAGACTGAATCTTTGAGTTTATAGTCAACTAGATGTGAGATATTTGAAAGAAGGAAAAAAAATGAATTAACAGAACACCTGTTACATTCTTGGCATTGCATACAATATTTTATACACTTCCAGGCTTTTGACAACAATGATTTTGTGATAAAGGTTCTTATCTTTTGGGATGAAGAAAAAAAAGATGAAGGAAGTTCTTACTTGCAACCTAGAGCAAAATATTGAATTCTTTGGCAAGTCTCATCATTTTTCAAAGGCACAGTTTACAGCTATGTATCGTGGAGACAATGCCACACACCCAGCAGAATTCCAGGTAATATAGAAGGTAATTATTGCAATGCACCTGTGACCCAGCTGCTATTAGTAGCTGGCATGATCTGTCAGAAAGAGAGGGAGAGATTGGGAGCAGAAGAGGTAAAGGCAGAGGACACATAGGTTTTTACAGGTAGCACAAGTAATGGACATGTGGGTCTCCCATGAAGGCCTCTTTCTCTTTCTCTGGTTCAGAGCCCAACTATCCAGGATCTTGCTAGGCCAGCTCCCAAGAACAGCAGGACACCATGCAGATTTAAGTAAGCTTTCACTCTGTGTCTCTGTACTGGCCAGGACTCCCTCCCAGAAAACAGTTCTGAAAATGCCAACGACCTTGTATCAAATGAGAATGCTACAGAGTCTTGTATCCAATTTATATTAACTCTGAAAGTCGGAATTTTCACACAGAAACCCTGAAAGTCTTGGGCTACACATTATGCTGGGCACTCCAGAGTGAGCTAAGGTCCTGTCCAACAAATAGAACCTGCTGGAGTCAGACCCCACCCTCATAACAGCAATGTCAAGATATGTGCAGTGAAGGCCAAACAGCTGTCTGTGAGTCACTTATCACACTGAAAATAGCACTTCATGCTGCCTCTTCCCTTATTACCTCGTGATCTTAATGATCACAAACCTACAGTGCCAGGCTGGACCCTGGTGTCTCCTGATCTACGATCCCTGGGACTGGGTATGTAGTTGGGGTGGGGAGTGGCCAGAGAAGTAAAGGGGGGAGGGAAGGAGAGAGAATGCCATTATCTACAGTACATGTTAAATGAGGCTAAAGGTTTTACATGTTCAGATCCACACAAGACACTGCTACCATTCTGGGAACAGTGATGATCCAGGGTCTCAAAGACCTTGTTTTTCTAGCTCCAGGATTTATATGCAGGTTTTCTGGGACAATGAAGCTCTATGAAATAAATATTTAGAAGAAAAATATACTTAATAGATAGAGAATTTGATACTATCATTTTCTCTGTGGAGAGTACAAGTTGGCATTTTGATCATCCTATGATCAAGAACATCTTAAAAGTCAGAGTTCTGCAATTTGTAAACACAAACACAGGGGCCATTTTTACAACTAACATATGCCACCAAATGAAGATGCCAAGCTCAAATTTTAAAATATATTTTAAATTTCCCATTTTGGTTTTCCAGGGAACTAATGGCACAATATGAAATTTATGTTCAATAATCCAAAACCTTGGTCCCACCCTTCTTCCCATATCTTTCTATCTTAAAATTAATGAAGATCTTATACAAGTGGATTTTCATCAGCTTCAGTGATGAAAGCAACAATGTTGAGCCCTAACCGAGATCTACTGAGTGAGGACTCAAAAGTTTTACCATCCTCCTGGAATTCTGACATACACATTCATTTGAAAATCCCTGTGTTAAACCAATGCATTATAAATCGCATAATGTTGAATGATGACTGAACTTCCTATTCCCTGCTTCCACATGATTTATCCAGACTATTGAAATCATTTGCCATGCAAAGCATCTATTGTGGTTGGTAGGGATAAAGCATGTTAAAGGTGTTGGGTACACTATAAAATATACATGTGACATACACATAGTAGTTATAAGGCGCATGCCTAACATAACCCACTTCTCCTACATGTAATACTCCCCAATCACACAAATACACATAATGTATACAAACATAGACATACCTACACAAGATACAATATCCATGGCATTTATAAGATGCCCACAAAACAGTATACACACTAATAACCACACACCCAAAACACACCCACTCACGCTCAATGTACTCATAAAAGACACCCATACCAAAACATCCAAATCACCATGCATGCCTAGACAACACACACACACTCACCTTGTAAACAGCACAGAATCTATATGATGCCTGCTGCAACCAATGCCTCCCATAATTCATGGCTGCAAATCTCTGTGAAGCTGTGTTACTGTGCATATCTAAAACACCTGATGGTCTAACAAAGAGTTGAATTGCCATTTAGGAAGGCAGGAGAAAGGATAGGCGGGGCTGGCAGGCAGAGTGGAGGAAGAAGGAGTAAGAACAAGGAGGACACTAGGGGCCAGCCACACAGTCACACACCCAGCCATGGATCAATAGTGAAAGATATACAGAAATCAGAAAAGAAAAATACTTGAAGCAAAATATAGACAGGGTAATTTAAAGTAAGGAAAGCTACCTAGAAACAAGTCAAGCTAAGGCCAGGGATTCAAAAGTAAGGATACGAATCTGTATGTGATTTATTTGGGAGCTGGGTGGCTGGTCTCCCAAAAAAGCAAAGAACAAAAGAGTGAAAAAAACCAACTACACAAGGAGAGGGAGGGAGTATTCACAGGAGGCTTCTCTTAGGGAGTAGCCTCTGAGCTAGGGAGCATTTGCCAAGCTTTTGTCCGGGGTAATCAATGCCAATCTCTCTTTAAAAAGAGCCGAGGGTCCAAAAGCCACTTCATGCCCCTGAGATAGGTCCTTACCCCCTGAGGAGTGGAAGGGGAAGTGGCAAGAAGAGGGGAGACAGCGGCAGGAGAAGGGGAGAGATGGGGAACTGGGGTTGATATGTAAATGAAAAATATTTCTTAAATAAAAAAGCAAGCCCGGCGTTGGCGGCACACGCCTTTAAACCCAACACTCAGGAGGCAGAGGCAGGTGGATCTCTGTGAGTTAGAGATCAGCCTGGTCTACAAAAGCTAGTTCCAGAACAGCCTCCAAAAACAGAGAGAAACCCTATCTTGAAAAGCCCAAAAATAAATTTAAAAAAGCAAAACAAAAAAATATCCTAAAAACAAAACAAAAAAGGAGCCAAGGATCATTAATTCTTTGCCATGTGAAACTACTTGAAGTCAGCACACCTGTCCTTGGTATATACTTCCACAGTGTAAGGCCTCACTGCCTGGTCCTGGCTTGGGTAGTATCACAGAAAGTCCTCACCTGCATGAGGTCAGTCTGGCCTTACGCAGGAGGGTGAAGGGAGACTGCAAGGCCTGGAGATGCAGCATGAGGTTTCAGAGAGGTTTCATTGTTCAGGAAGAAGGCAGACCAAGATCTGGTCTCTCTGAAGCAAATCTCTCCTCAACATTTTGTTCCTGTCTGTCCCACAAAAGAACCATCCAGAAATCTAAAGGTAAAATCCAGTTTCTTGGGTCAAACAGCCAGACTCCCTCAACACCAGAAGAGACCTAGTAGCATGCATGGTAAAGTTTGCAGCCACTGAATCTGCTTCTGATGCCAAAGTGAAAAGAAGACAGCACAGAGCTAGGAGAGGAGTTAGAATCCAGTTGAAAGCATCCATTTCCTATTTGTACAACCAAAGAAAGGCAAGAAAGAGCCTGCAGAAAGGATATCCAGCCTTTGTCTTTGCAAGCTCAAGATCCTTCTTTAGAGTTATGTAGACAGTCTAGATTTGAGCACTGTTAATGTACAAGGCAGTCAGTCTGAGCAGTACCTGGGTCCCTGTGGTTTAGTGCGCATATGAGGCATGTGAATGTGCATGCCTCTGTGTATGCCTGTGTGTGTGTGTGTGTGTGTGTGTGTGTAGAGAGAGAGAGAGAGAGAGAGAGAGAGAGAGAGAGAGAGAGAGAGAGAGAGGTTTGCAGATAAGTGGCCCAGGATTTATATACCTATTCTCCTTCTCAGTTCAAACAAGATAGTCTACCTAACAAGGAGAAGGATGACAGAGCATGCTCATTTAAACCTCCTCAAAACAGTGTTTAATCCACCAGGAGCAACTTGATATCTGATGAGTGCTTCATCTGAGCTTCCTTTTTATATTAGTCTTCAGATTGTGTTGATCCCTTTTGTGCCTGTACATTTCCTTCTAGTTTTTCTGTCATCAATATGAAGGAGAGTATAGTCAAAGGTTTTGAAAACTGAACAGTATGGTTTGGGTGGATGACTGAGTTTACTTTCTTCCACAACTGTAGTCAGCAAGCAGCTCCCTCCTTGAGAGATAGGGCCAGGAGAATATTCCATCCTTGGATCAAAGTTATCTGAAGGATTCTTAAATTACATAAGATTG